AATCTTATATATTTAATAGAGAAATACCACTGTAGTTTTATTAAAAGCTACTGCCCAAGTATTTCAAAACCCCATGTCTTTGCAATTTTTTAGAGCATACTAAGACCTATCTATGCACAAAAAATGGCTCCGGTGTGTGTTCGAATAACAGAAAACAGATACAGATTAGCGGAGTTTTCTTATAGTTTTCAAATAGGACCAATCTTGATAGTTTATTCACTCCTGTCCTTTGCATTTAATTCATGAATAGCCAAAAACGCTCCGTGGCAACGACAAAAAGGTCACTTGATTCATAACTATTTTCATAAAATTGGAAAAAGCCGCACTATTCACTATCACTTTCTTCTTTTTCATACGTTTAGACACAATCTAAAGCCAACCTTTACTGTATTAGCTGACAATATGGTTAAGAAAATACAGTTTCTAAACCAACAAGAACACATACCAACAGAAAAATTCATCTTATTTCATTCAATTTTGCTTCTGATAGAGTGAATATAAATTCTTTGAGTGATGCTTTCCATCTAATGTACTATTCATATATTGTGTCCGTACAGAACAACTATTTTCATACTTAACTTGAAAATAGTTCTTAGTTTTTTGCCACTTCTCTACCGACGACAAAACGGTTGAAAATCGTATTTTTCATCAAAAAAATCAAAATTACGATCAAACAAATCTCTCTTGGATATTTTTAGATAGCGGAAGTCTAGCTGTACAAAATGCATATAAAGGTTCAATATTGCCAGACAACACGTGAATAAATTGCCTGAGTCTTTTCAATACATGCTTGAACAGTATCTAACAACAGACTATTGCAACCTTCGTCGACCGCCATCTCTAGTTCAATTTGTGACTTTGAATTCTTAGTTTTAATCTTTTGTTTGATAATGTTCCATATCAGTTCAATGGCATTGAAATCCGGGCTATAACCAGGCCATTCGCAAAATTTTTATATTATTTTCTTCGCACCATCCTCGGAATTCGATGCTTCGGTGCCATCGAACTTCATCAGAAACATATGAATATCCCTTGAAATCTCGTATCTTTCCGGTTAAAGCTTCATTCACTGTGTCACAATACGTGTCACTTTTTAACCAATTATCGAATTGACGAAAAACATAACCGTTTCACCAAATAAAACCAATTAAACTGGCATGCTGCCGTAAAGACGAAATTTCTTTGTTGGGTGTTGATTCACCTAGTTTGCACCAAACAACCGGTGTAGTGTCCCTCAATCCCACATAACATTCATCTTCAAAAATCTATTTTTTGATGTTGGCCCGATGATGTAATTCAGCAAATCGATATCGACTTTCTTCATTCTTATTGTTGGTTTTCATCTTGACGGCAGATCTTCGTGGACAGTAGCCAAGAGAAATTCAATAGCGTTGTATCGTTCGTTCGGTCGTATAAAATTGTGTGAGTGACAATAATTCAGTAGCAGTAGCGAATCGATGTTTTTGAATGGTTTGCTCGAGTTTTTTTTATTTGGGTTGAGTCGAGAGCAGACAGGTGACCAGAACTGTCGATGGTTCACATTACGATGAGAACGATAGTGATTAATGATTCGATATACTGTATTAATGTGACAATGGAGAAACGTGATGTCTCTTTGGCCTTTAGAGAACCTTTTTTCCACCGACTGATGATATACCAGCGCTTTTCGACACTTAGTCGGTACATTTTGAGTATTATCAATCACTCTTGGCTGAACAATGTAGAGACTTAGGATAAAAATAAAAAATACTCAATCGACAAGAAAGAATGCCCTATGGTGAAATACTGTTCAAGCATGTATTGAAAAGACAGGCAATTTATTCACGTGTTGTTTCTCAATATTGAACGTTTATATGCATTTTGTACAGCTAGACTTCCGCTATCTAAAAATATCCAAGAGAGATTTGTTTGATCGTAATTTTGATTTTTTAGATGAAAAATACAATTCTCAACCATTTTGTCGTCGGTAGTCTGGTCCCTATTTAAACCCGTCAGATCTAGACCGTTGACATTTTTCCGGTGAATCCTAACATCTTGACGCTTTCCTCCATGGAATATTCCAGTGCAGCGGCTAGCCACTGCCACGTGTAATCATATTCTCCCATAAGATCATCCTCTTTGATTTACGCCCTATCAAATTCCAGGCGGCTCTTACTGCGAAAAATCCTTAGATTTATAACACGAGGATTTTCGATGGGCAGTCCAGAACCGGCACTTTGTTATCAACTATTCCTTATTTCTTCAACCTAATTGTCTAGCGGAAAAGTCAGAGTTTTATTAGAATTCCTGTTTAAGGGAATCTAAGTGCAGTATTCTCAATAAACCTAGGTTTCACATAGATCTTTTTCGAAGCGAATCTAGAGTGCGCTTGCAATATTAGCAACTAGTGGTTTGTCGGCGTCCCTCCGCGGCGCCACTCTCGGCTAGTCGCTCCATTATTTGAATACATTAAAACAATAGTTGGTTTTTCTACATTTACCATGAAAGATGTGACCTCATTTACAAATATCTTTTTATATTAGCTTCTTCGAGATATACTGACTATAGAAATTACACGAGTCAGAACTCCTGAAAAATTATGCAAATAATTGAATAATTAGCCAGAATAAAATATAATGAGAGTAGACTTAAATACCAATAATGTCGGATCGACCAAAAGTAGGCTTTGAGTTTCAGAAGTACTTGTCGACGTGGATTCGAATGTTGGTGGGACCCTAAATACGCTTCCACGTGAATCCAATTCTACGCGTTATGTTTTTCTCTGGCACATATCTATTTCGAGAACCACATCTAGATAGGACAACTTATAATAAAGTTGATCTGATCCAACTCGTCAGCTGAGGTAGAACGCACACCATCTAACAAAATCACTGATTGCACATTAGTAGCACAAAAAATGTGCGAATTACACATCAACCTTCCCTGACCACACCAGCTCGTAGGAAAAGAAACGGGAACACATTAAATTACTGCTATTTGAATAAAGCTTGACAGATTCGCAGTCGAACACCGAACATATTGAATTGGCTCAACTGGCGATCTGAAAAACTTCATATATAATTGATGTTACTTCGATTATCAAACCTGTAATCACGCTAACACATCTGAATGCGTTACTCTTCCAATGACTGCCAGATCACAAACTCATTTTATTTCATATGATCCTTCCTAGAGTCGACAGAAAAAAAGCTCGTTTCTGATTGGTCCATTTTCTGACCAATGAAAGCTCAAATCGAAAAACCAACTTCATATTTGGATTCTTGGATGTCAATAACTTTTTGCCAAGTTTCATCAAAAGGTACAAAAACCTTAAAATAAAAAAGCTCATTTCTGATTGGTCAGCTTTCTAGCCAATGGGAAGACCCGATGTAAAACCCGACTTCGAATTCGGATTTCCTGACCTCAATTTCCTTTATTGAAATTTTAGAAGTTAAGCCTAAATAAACGTCATCTCTGATGTTTTTTTGACCTTGCCACAAACACAAGGACAACCTCTTTTTTTTACTTTTTTTCATATGACCCTCTCTACAGTCGAGGGAATTAGCACCACGTATGCAGGCACTATGGTGAAATAGGATTTGACATTTTTAAAAAAATTTGTGTATCACTCTTTATCTAGATGCTTTGCTGCATAAACAGTATGCTATTATCAATAGATATTGGTAACGTAAGGGTGTGGGTGTGGGTGGGTGTAGGTCTGCGTATGGGCATTTGTGTGGGTAAATTTAATTCCTAGTTAAATCCATTCTCACCAACACCTAACACCCACATCCAAACCCACCCTACAACCACATCCACAAAGTTTTCCTTGATCATAAACTTAAAATGATAGAGCATCTTCTAAACACCTAACACCGCAATCCATACTATATAGATATATATACATTTCGAGGTGTCACTGAGTCTCGAGGAGATCGATATTTGAGTGAGACTAAAAAAACGCGAAGATCTAAAAAGAGACGTAAAGTAGAAGTTACATCAGCAACACTAACACACTCATCTAAATGTATTCCTCTATCCGACATAACAATAACCAAATGCCTTCCCGTCTTACATCTATATTAAGTACTTAAAAAAATCCATATCACCCGCGCATCAGCATACAGACACAACTACAGACAACTTCCACGCGCGACGCAATAGAAACTGAAACACTGCAAACAGCCTTAATCTAAACTCGCGAGAACGAAACGCATAGCATCAGACAGTTAAACAGTCATACATCAGAGACACGACACAACACAACGCTAAAAGACCGAAATCGACGAAAACAAGTGAAACGCGAACTTATCGTACAGGACCAAAAACGAACTGAGAATACTATTGTTCAGGATTATACTCAATTATTATGAATATTTTATGATTATTTATATCGATATGCAAGATTGAATTCTCAAACTACCTGACGAGTCCCTTTAGCAAGGACGAAAGCGGTCATATATAGCTTAGAATTCATATTATTAGTATATAAACACACCCATACCCACAGCCGCAGCCTCAGCCACAGCCACACCACCAACTCCCACACTCACAGCCACACCACCCACCCCGACATCCCACACCCACACCCACACCTACATTCCCCACCCCTCGTTAGTAACACGTTGCTAAGTTTTGCTACGAAGAACGTCACATATTCTTTCTCTTCATCGTATAGAATGAAATATTTTGCAAACAAATAAAGAGAAGAGAAATTTTTGCTGTTCTTCGCTGCAAGAAAGCAGCAATCATTTTCGATTTTCTTTGACGACGAATACGCTCTTGTTTAAAGTGATCACGAGAAGGTAAGTTATCCTAACATCATTATTCACTTTTTGTTGCAAATCTATTAAAATAGAATGGTTATCAATCGACTTATATATTATATTATATCATTTTTATTAATTCAAATGATTATTTATGTAGATTCTAAAAGTTATTGGAATAAACTTATTGATAACATTCCTTCTTGCTTAAAAACGTCAACTACTATTAATAATGACTCATTCTCTGTATTTATAATGATTAGAGATCGATTCTCATACAAAGACACATTAGAAGGTTTTATTAATATTTTATACCATAATTCAAATCAATTAAAGCACAAACCAGAATTAGTATTATTTGATTTTAATAGTCGTATTCCGGTACAAATTCCTTCACCGTACAATAATATGTCTCAATATCCTAATATTAAATTGATTCGGTTTGAATGTGTAATTCCTTGTATTCCTGAACATGAAACATGTGATTTATGTCCTTATCCGTATCTTTATTTTAATTATTGGGTTGCATTCGCTTTATCTGTATGTCATCTTACATACGATCGAATTATATACTTTGAAAATGATTTGTATCCAAATAACCTTTTTAATTTTTATGATTATATAGGCCCAGAAAGTTGGACATTTCGATCCTATGACAAATATTATACTTATAGTTTTTCAACATCTCTTAGGACTTTAATTGAATTCTTATATGTGTTACCTGATTTTCTAGTTGAAGATCCAGATTCTTCTTTAAGTGCTGATCAAGTTTTTATATATTATACGAATCTTACAAGATGTCCAGAATATCTTACTCATCTTGAACATGAAGGAGGAATGAAGGATATGGATCCTCCTAAATCACGTGTACGAGTTCAATGGCGATTGTATTTATATTTACAACGATATGGTAATCCTGGTGGAGGAAATATTCGAAGAGGTGGTATTGGAGGAAATAATCAAGAATATTATTGTAACGATAAACGTATTACTTGCAATGTATTCTTTCGCAAATTTACAAGCTTTTGGGGTATATATCATATCATCGATATGGTACTTCAATCGGACATATTATGGTTTTTTGTTTTTTTCTCATTTAATCGGCCGAAAACAGCATTGGGTTATATATTTATATTGTCCTGTATAATGCTTACGGTTCGATTATATAGATTTCGTTTTAAACGTACCAAACGGTTATTTTCGATATGTACAAGGTGGACGAAGAGAAAATAGTGCCGAAAGACGAATGTGATTGCGGACATATACATGTAATGGTTCAAACGAAAACCATCTTGTATCCGAATTGTACTTCTTGCTCTAGCGGTCAACATGTAAAGTCTCCGTCAGAATATTAACACAGAGGGTGGGTGTGGATGCGCGTAAATCAATGCGAAACAGGTCGACTTATATTTCTAGAATACAAATCAATCTACTAGTCTCAACTTTTGCTTTACAGCAACCGGTTCTCTCTCTCGATTATAATAAAAAAATGAAATAGATGTGCTTGAATTAAAATTAATTTAAAAGAAATGCAGAGTTAATTTTGCCGATGCGTTTCGTGTTTTTATTGAAATATTGGAACAGTCATCAGGGCTCTGCATTACAATTGAAAAGCAAAAATTGAAAACAAAAGAAAAATTAAAATGAAATGATAAATTCAGAGTTAATTCACAATAATTCAAAATAAAGAGGGCAAAGCCTATAGCAAGGCAAAATTCAAATGGTTTGAAAAACACAAAGTGAAAAGTTTAAAAAGTTTAAAAACTAAATAAAGATCATTTGTAAGTTAATATGATGTGTAAAATAAATAGCCAAAGATATAGCCAAATAAAAAGGGTGAAGAGAATAAAAATAAATAATAAGTGGATAACACAGAAACCAAATATCAATTAAATCAGGAATAAGTGGTAAATGACTCAAAAATGAAATTTAAATTAGTTTTACATAAGAATTAAAAAAGGTAGCGATCAAACGACAAAAATAGTGACTAATAAAGTTCAATCTTATTATAAGCTCAGTTGGATATAAATAATAATAATAACTTTGAATCCTATTATAGTTGCAACATAAGATTAAATTATGATCAATATAATATCAAATAATAATAATTTTCAATGGTGTTAAAGTTGCAACATAAAATTGAATTATGTTAAATGTAATATCAAATAATATTAAATTTTGATACAACAATTATCGATAAAACAGTTTAAATTAATAACAAAGTAACTTGCAAATTAATAATATTTTGTAAAAGATAATACAATTTGTATAAAATAATACAATTGCTAATGAGACACTATATACGTAGATGTTTTGTTTGAAATGTAAATGATGAGTTATGAATATCTTTCAGAGACCGAAACGAGTCAAAAAACATCCAACTCGACTCGACTCGAAACGAGTCGAGTTGCCGAGCCTCGATTCAAACAACGAATTTTCAAAATCATACTTTATTTGACAACAAAAATAAGTGACAAAATTAACAAACTTCAGAAGAATGAGTCAAGAAAAAAACTTTAAGCTAGATTAATCGCTTGTTGTTCTCAATGGAACACAAGGAAATCAAATTATTGACCGTTGAAGAAGAAAGATTTGAGCGCCTCTGAATCACAATCTGACCAGCTGCACTGAATTGGCGTTGAACTGTCACAGAACATGCTCGAAAAAATAATGATTTAAATTTGTAACAGAAGATGGTTGATTACTGAAGAAATATGGCGTTGAAAAGAATAAGAAAAATTCGGTCACACGTTGCGGGTGCGGGTGTGTGGATGTGGGTGGGTGTGTGGGTAGGTGCGGTTGGTGGAATCTTCTCTTCAGTAACACTCACACCCTTCTTTTCAAAAGAACTGATCATCAGTTCCAGTTTTTTTCCAAAGAACTGGGTGCTTAACACCAGTTCAGTTCGTTGAACGGGAGGGTATGGGTGTGTTGGTGTGGGGTATGTGGGAGGGTGTGGGTGTGGGTGAAGAAAAGACCAACACACACACCCACACCCACACCCCACACCCCACACCCACACCCACACCCACCCACACCTACACCCACATCCACACCCACCACACCCATCTCGATGAGACTTGTTTTTCTGGTGTAGGTCTAAAATAGACCTTTTCTCGCTTTCCGTCAACTGTATTGCTTTGGGAATACTTTAGCGTAAATATGAAATGTTATCTGATTTGTTAATTTTACTTAAAGTTACTCGTGATTCGTTTCTTACTATAAACCTATCACGTGGTCTTATAATTATGCACCACAAAAATGGAGGCAATTCTATATATCCCCCTGGCCAAAATAAACTGGACACTTCATTTTTTAGAT